AGTTAGATTTTTTTTCTCCTCCTTTCCTTTTGATAGATTTAAACTGATGGATGGTGAAGCAGGATTATGATTAACTGGAACCTCAGTTAAGCAGCAAAAAGCAGCAGAACATCTGGAAATTTCACACTGCAATCTCAGGTTTCAGTTTGAGTTACTCAACAGATCAGCTCTTCTAAGAGGGTCCAACCCTCAGCTTCTGTAGAAACCTGTCAGCTTTGAGAGACATTCAGGTCCACTCACAGGAGAGTCTGCCAGGGCCAACCAGGCATGAGATTCAGACATGTTTCTGGAGACATATATCATCTGTCTTCAGATAGGAAGTAAGCTTTATTTTGCAACTGTGCAGAGCTCAATTTCAAAATCAGTTCCGCCCTCTGAGGTGTAACAGTGGTCTTAGAGCTATTAAGAGAGTTGGTGTCTCACAGGCATTTGCCATGATTTCTGTAAAACCACTTTGTCTTCAATGGCACAAGGCATTTATTAATGATAAATGTTTTTTCCCCAAGTGGAAGTGGCCTTCCACTTTCTAGAGCACAGCAAAGAGAAAATAAAGTAAAAGAAGGTGTGTATTGTCAAGGCTATTTAAACAAGTGGCTTAAAGGAGTAGAGGATGTGTGGCAGTGTGGCACACTGTATGGTCTTGAATAACACTGACACCCTCGAAACAAGAAAAGCAGAAACCCTGCTTCAAAAGCAAAGGATAGCCAAGCCCCTCAGCTAACTTTAAACCTCTGTCTAGCAGACACATTTCTGTTACTTGGCAATGAGTGCCATGACTTTAAGTTTATGCTGGTCCTCAGATCTCTAGAGGAGATGTTAAATCAATGATCAGCATGTTTCTGCACATAGATCTGTCCTGCAGTTAATTCTTGTTCTGCTTAAGATTCAAGAATAACAGAGCACAAATCCTTCAGGAAAATGGATCGCAACTCTGTCTTATACATATAAGTCCATTCTGTCCCCACACCTCTACCCGTGGTCACCACCTTCTGACTAATTAAGTCCTTGATAAAACCTGTACAACTTTCACCATAACCAGAAAGTATGCAACTTTCCACAACACATTCCACATGCTCTTATGGGATGTCCTGTACCCTGCACTAATGAAGCTTCACTCTTCTGAAATAAAATACAGAAAACCCACATGGATAAGGAAAGTTATCTTGTACTTAAAGAGGTTGACAGACATTGGTCCACTTGTTTATTGGGGAAAAAAGTAGTGCAACAAGTCAAGTATAGGAATGATGCTACCCTCCATTCTCTAGACTGTGTGGAATTGCCCCATCACTGTTACATGTGATTCATAAAATCATAGGGTTGAAAGGGACCTTTAAACACCATCTGCTTGCAAACCTTCTGCCATGAGAAGGGACACATTGCACTAGACAAGAATGCTCGGTGGCCTTGAACACTTCCAGGTATGAGATATCCACAACTCTGGGCAACCTGTTCCAGTTTACTCCCCACCCTCAGAGTAAAGGGTTTTTTTTTTTTCCTAAAATCTAATTAAACCTACCCTGTTTCAGTTTGAAGCCATTCTCCCCTATGCTGTCACTACATGCTTTTGTAAAGACATCTGGTTGCTTACAACACGGGCCAGCTATTCAGCTCAGTTTTGACAGGTACAGGCTTCCAATAAAGCAGTTCTCCAAAAAGAGAGAAAACAGATGAATGCTGACCCCATATCTAACAATCCAGATAACAATTATTCAGACTAGATTGTAGAAGTCAGATTCTGTAGCCTCGCCTTTTCAGCCCCATGTCCATCCAATAGACGCTGATGGTAGCACAATTTTTACAAAAGCATGAGACTTTCAAAATCAGGACATACATTGTAGTGTGACAAACAACAGTGCCCCTCACAATGGGTCTCTCATCTGCTGCCAAGCAAACATTTCTGAAAAGCACCACTGAAAAGCAAGTTTCATTCTGGATATGCAAACCTAGCAAACAACACCTTGAGAGGGAAGAGAGAATATGTGAGTGAGCTATAGCACCAACTCTGAACTCCAATGGCAATAAACATGGTGGTCATTATTTCTGTGTTTATGCTCCATCCAAACATTTATCTATTAAAAACTCCAGAACTTTAGATGTTGTTCAGAAAACAACTGGGTTTTCAAATTGATGCTGGCACTCAGTCTTTTCAGTGGTAAGATTAAAAAAAAAACCAAAAACACCCAAAACCAAACCAAACCAAAACATTTTAAAAAATGCCCCATGATGGTACAGGGCTAAGTCTGAAGAATGTGAAGTAACATCAAGTGAGGCTATCTGAAGAGCATGGAGTTCCTCTAGGGGTGGAAAATTCAAATCACAGAGCATCACTTACACCCAGGCAGAGCCACATCAGACACGATGTAGCAGCCTCTGGAGAACTAACCTCCCAGATGCCAGAGAACAGAACTGAACTGGTTTAACTCACATGAGAATCTCACCTGGGAAGTCATGAGTCTAAGACACAGCAAAGATTTCAAAGGAAGTCATAACCTGGGGTGTCCTCACTTACTCACTTCCTACGAAATAAGCATTCTGGTTTCAGTCACTCAGAACAAGGTGGCACAGCTGATTTCACCACCCTTGTGTGTAAACTAGTCGAGAATTGACCATGTATCACAGACTTGCTGGGCACAAACCAGGATAGAGCGAGAAGACAAGTACATAAATCTTCTGGCGTTAGCACTACAGAATTTATCTTGTTCTACCTTTATTTTGAGGAAACAAAAATAGGGGAAAATAATCTTGAAGGCAGATCTTACTCTTGAAGAATCACCAACTGAAAAAGTTTCTTTCAACATAATTTTAGCCAGTACACATAGGACAGCATTAATGAAAAAAAGAAATGTTTCTTTTAAGCACTGATGATATGTAGCTGTTTTTCATTAGAGAAGTTTGCACATCTTGAGGGTCTAGTGACACAATAAGTGACAACTCCACAATAAAATCCCGAAGTGATAGTCACAATAGCTCCTCGTGAACACAAGTGGAAAAACAAACGTCCTCCATGCTGTTCTATTATCCACACAACTGCAAGATATTTGTGGCTGCAGAAAGTATTAAGAAGAAAAACTTGAGCACAAGAAAGTAGGCTAATCATTTAAACATACTATCTGATGGAAATAATAATTATAGATATGTCTGCCACTTAAAAAAACCTCACAAACAACAAAGTACAATGAACAAAGTACAACGAACAAAGAGGCAGGGAAGAGTGAGTGAAGAAAAAAAAAATTACAACCAAAGAAAATGGGAAAGAAAATTGAGGTACAGTACTAAACAAATCAACTGAAAATTCGGAAGTCTCCTTCTGCTAAGAACTCTCTCAACCCAGACAAAATGTCTCCAGTTACAGACCAAGCAAAAGGTTCTGTAACTGTGCAGATGTGACTACATGACTGAAGAACTAAGGATATAGCTCCCTACTGGTTCCTTCTCTTCTCTGATGTCTCACCAATCAGAAAAAATAAACTATTATCTTTATTGTGTGTTGAAACATGTTAATAAGCAGCAACATACAGCACAGTTCTGACCAGATTCTTGTAGTAATTCTGCATATGAAACAAGTTCACATCCACCGTATCAAAGGAGAAATGCCACTTGATATCATCCTTGCTGACACATGTTTGTTTAGTTATCTTTTTCAGCATCACTCGTTTTCCACTCAGAGTGGGCAAAAGCCAACATTGAAATATGCCACATGATAGCCAACAATGAAAGGAAGGAATACAAATAAATATGGGAAGGTAGTAAGGAGCTGTTATTATAGTTCCCAGTGCTTGACAGATCCTCAGTTGATGTAAATTTTGTCCTTTTTCCTCCCCTGTGTCAAGCCTTGAAAGCAGATTCTCTTCCTGTACAGTATATTCAGATTTACCTGTAGACAAATGCATACAGGACTTCCCCTAAGGTCTTACCGGTCTTTATTTTCAGAAACAACCAACCTAAAAATCAGACCTGAGAGCTGCAGAGATGACTTAAAAGAGAGGGAGGTCCACACCAATGTCCTCAGATTAAACGGGATCCTGAAATTTAAAGGCTGAGTGAAATCACACTAAGTAGCCTCAGCCTCAGAGATAACCCCTTCTGCAGTAACTCCTATGGAAACCTTTCTTCCCAAAGCAGGCACAAAACCCCCATTGTACAAGAACGAAAGGTTTTAAAAAACACTCCATCTCGTGCCCAAGTAGGAACACGCAGAAATTTGTGCAAAGAGCTGTAATCTGTTTTTTCTCACCGTATCCGCCTCATTTGCAGTAGAGGGGATGTCTCCTGGGGTCCCTGCTCTGTCCCAGGTGCCTTCACGCCTCACAAAGACCACACCGCATGCAGGACGAGCGCTGTTACTCTGACACATTTATTTCTCAAGTACTCACCCACAAGGAGCTAGAGAACTATTGTACAACCACAGAGCTTGGAAATCTCATCTCATCTCATCTCTCTACCTGCAAGCTGTCATTGACAGCTGATCAAAATGCCTGCATTTCTCTCCTTTCCCTGGCGCGGAGGTTTTGCAGAGATGCAAAAGACCGAGTATCAGGGGTCTCTCAAAGCATCCAAACCTGACAGGGACATCGCACATGGTGACATTTTAGCATCTGCTCCAAAGCATCTCTCCCTGCATGCGGCGCGTCCATCACGCCCTGCTGCCGCTGCCGCCGCAGCCTCCTCCCGAACTGCAGCCCACCCGCACGGCCCCGCGGCTCGGCGGTGGAACCCTTTGCCAGGAGGGGTTCTCGGAGGTGTTCCCGGGAGGAATCCCGAGGGAAAGGGCGGGAGAAGGGCCACTCAGCACCTGCCACGGGAAAAGCGGCGATGCCCCCGCGCCGCTCCCGCCGTCCTCGACAACGACCCACTGCATCCCGCATCCCGGCCCGCTCTGCAGCACGGCGCGGAGAAGCCGCCGCCTCGCCTCGCCTCGCCCCGGCTCCCGCCACCCCCCGCAGCCCCCTCGCCCGCCGGTCCCGCACGGGCATCCCCCGCCGGGCCCCGGCCCCGCTCACCCGCGGCGCGGCGGCCCCGCTACGGGCGGCGGTTTCCGGGAGGGCGGGCGGGCAGCCCTCGCCGGCCGGGCATCGTGGTCCGCCCTCCGCCGCGGCGGGGAGGCCGGCTCCGGGACTCCCTCCCTGCGCCGCCTGCTTCCTCGTCCTCCTCGCCCCTTCCCGCCTGGATTTCCCGCAACGCGGCCCGGAGGAGAACAGGCTCAGCTCCCTCCCTCCGCCGCTCCTCCTCTGCTTTCCCGGCCACCGGACCCGGCTCCAGCCCCCGCCCGCCGGCGGGGCGGAGGGAGGGGACAGGGGCTGGCCAGGAGGGGCGGGCGGAAGAGAAGGGAGGAAGAGCGGGACCCCCGGAGCCGCCGCGATTCCCCAGCTCGGCCTCTGCCCGGGCTATCCCCTCCCAGTGGGCAGGAGCGGGGTGCGGCGTCCGGGGACATCGCTACCTGTCTTGGGCGGGGGCCGGCGGGCGCTGGAGGCAGCCGGACATCTCTCCCGGATGCTCCTGCCCCGGTCCCGCTGCGGGGAGCACGATGCCTCGGGGGCTTCGCTGGCATTAGGGCAGCAGGACTGCATCAGGGGCAGAGGGATGCGGTCTGGGTGACCCGCAGCGGTGTTGGTGCTCCAAAATCCCGGGATACCCTGGGTTAGAGGAGCCCTGCAGCCTGGAGCAGGGGGGTGACAGTGGGGTGCGATGCAGGCGTTCTAGGCGTTGGCCATGCTGGCGTGACTCCTTCCCCATGCCTGATGTAGGGCACCGGGCAGGACTGCAGCCCTGCTGCACGGTGGTGCTGTCCTGAACCCTAAAGGTATCCATGGCCCTGGATAGGTCCACCAGTGAGCTACCAAGATACTGAACTCTTGGTATCCAACAGAACCTTGTCCTTTACAAACTGCCTTAGGCGCTCACTACACAAGGAAAGGAGCTTGTGCTTTCTCTGTTTTAGGCTCAGATTTGCCTCCAACTCACATATGTGTTTCTGTAACTGAGAATGGTACCACCCCAGTTATGTTCCAGCTAAATTCCTAGTTGTCAGGGCAAAGAAATAAGTGACCCAGGAGTTACTCTACTGCAAATGAGCACAGAGTCCTGGCTTCCCACAAGTGTGTGGCATGTTCTTGTAAATATGCCTTAAGTGTAAAACTGGAAAAAATAAATAGCACCCACAAGCTAGAGTAAATCATGCCAACATAATTTTTATCTGTGGATCAATGGAATTTAATTCCTCAGTTGCCAAGATACGTTGCAGAACTGTTTTTGGGTATTTATTATCCCACCATTTCATGGACAGGGTGCCTTGCACCACATGGCAGTGAGGTGACTTGCCAGAGACCAGCACCAAAGCCCAGACTGTGTCCGACCAGTGTGGACCATGGGCCACATGGACAGAGGAGTGCAGCCAGATGAGAGTTATTCACTGAATGTTTGAGAAGTGTTAAGTTTTGTCTGCTGCAATGCAGAGGAAAATGTTTGCACATCCAAAGCCCTTTTCCTTTGTAAGACACCAGGAGCACAGGCACAGCCCACTGAAGGATGAGAGGTATCTGTTCATTTAAGCCATGCAACAGCATCAGTAGCTTTGGTTTGATCATACCCAAAGACTGATATTTACCCAAGAGATCAATCAAATTGCACTAATTTCAGGAATGACAGTGTGGAAACTTTACATGACAATGTCTTTTTTGCAGCTTTCCATCCCTGCAGTTTCATTGTTTCTTCCACTGTTTCTCTCCAAAAGAGGCATCTACTGTCCTGGGTGGATGTAGAGGAGGCAAAGCAAAGGACTCACATACCTTTTTGCTCTTTCCCTACTTTATGCCATCACCAAGCCTAGTAGAAGCAGAGCATGAAGGCATGATTTGTTTCCTCCTGCTTTTTGGTCATATGGATTTCAGACTCACTTGTCATTTCGGGGAAGCTCAGCTGGGCATGAGGTTTTCTTTCCTACTGTGGTTGTTGTGTGGCTTTTGTGGAGCTACAGCAGTAGCAACAAGGGCTATTTTTAGCATAAAGTAGGCCAGGCAGTTCCAGAAGATGTATTAATAGGGGGAACATTTCCGAACAAAACAAGCAAACAAAAGAGAAAACAAACTGAGACATGTAAACATAAATAATCTTTTACCAGAAGCAATTGCTAAATAGTAAATATGAGGAACAGTATCCTCTATTTCAGAGGACATGACCCCACCCCATAGCAAACCAACTAATGCAGTCTCTCATCAATATGTGTTACCTCCAGAACAATCAAAGTATCATGTTTTAGCACCATGCACTTGGAGTGGGACTTTTAGAGATACTCCGATTGTCAGATTGCAGTATGCATTCGTTTCCCAGAAAAAGCATGCCTAGCCTGGAAGTTTAAATATATATTAATCTCCTTCCCAGAGATCACTACACATTTGTGTTTTGAATCAGCGTGTAGCTGGTACCCAAAGTGTGTTGCCCAACTTGCTGGGAGAATTCACGCCCACGTTTGTAGTGAAATCCTGTGGGCAATGTGCAGCTCTCTGCAGTAGGTAGAAAAGAGGCAAGGATGTGTACTGTAGGAGAAAGATTCATATTTTGCTGTTAAAAGCAACAAATCTTAGTTTTCGATCAATGATAATTCAGTAGGAGGCATAGGTATCTGTCATCTCCTTTATCCTTGCTGGAGTTCGAAGACTGGATTGCAACAATTCAGCAGTCTGTAAATCTTTGTGGAATAAGTGCAGCAACATTCATCACAGACATGTACTTGCCACATGGTTGGTATGTGTACTCCTAGGGGCTAGGAAGAAAACAGCATCCCTGACTGGGTGTGAAACTACAAATCAGGCACTTGGCCAGGCTGCAGAGGTGCCATAAGAAGTGGTGAATGTCCTGTCCTTGGAAACATTCAAGGTCAGGCTGGGCACAGCACTGAGTAAACTGATCAAATGGAGGGTGTCCCTGTGCAAGGCAAGAGGTTTAAAAGGAGGTGGCCCTTAAAGGTCCATTCCCATCCAAACCATTCTGAGATTCTGTAAGTCTGTCTTCACAGCAGCCAGGCTGAGATGTCAAGCCCACCTGAGTTGAACAGCAGCCCAGGCAAGCCTCTTATGAGTAACTATGAGTGACCTGTCAAATTGCCAAAGTCCTGAAACAGGTCACAAACACTTTCTGCCAGACTAATAGTCTCCCAGCCACTGCAGTCTGCGGTGGAATGCTGCTCAGACTCGGGGAGAAGAGATAGTAGCAGGGAAGCATCAAGGATTTCCTCTCACTCTTTGCAGACGAGGCACTGCATAGCTAATTAGCCACAGGAAAATGCACCATCTGTTCTGCCAATGTAAGATAACAGTTCTCCACTTCAGCTTTAGGGAGGACCATCTTCATAAACAACACCATACCCAAACCTTCCCTCGAATGGGCTCTTTTGTCCACAAGGACATGTGATGTGAGCTGCTGTTTCTCATTAAACACTCAGTAGGCTAAACGCAAAGATCAGTTTCTTATCAGACATCAAAAGATTCAAGTATAATACACAAGTTAAAGCCCACAGAGAGGGAATAGACTGATTTCTGACATGTCACACTGCTGCTACAGGTATGAAAATCATATAGGTGCAGAGAAAGTCTTCACCATGGAGAAGATTAGCAGGGAATGGGAACAAAGAAGGATGTGTATACAATGAGTAACACACCTTGCAGAGAATAATCCAAATTCTTCATTCTTTAAGGAGTGAGGGACCAGTTTTCTGCTTTTCAACATCAGATTGATGCTTTCCATCAAAATAAAGCCCAAACTACCTCTATATGTTTACATATACACACACAAACAAGGCTACTGATGGAGTATGATACACCTAAGTTTGGAGAACAATCTTGTAGCATTCTGATAGCAAATTACATTTGCATAATGAAGTGTACTAGTAGGCAAGCTTGAGCTGAGTGGGTGTAGGCAGGTAGTACACTTCAGCAGTAAATTAGAAAGATGCTTCCCTAGCACATTTAAGGAGTTTATGTGCCTTAAATCCTGGGGTGTTTAAAAAAATTAAAAAAAAAAAAAATTCTAGCATCTAACAAGAAAGAAGATGCCATCTCTACATGGATAACAGCAAATTCATAATTACTGCACAGGAAGAGATGAACAAACCAGAATTTGCACCTAAATGGAGATGCCCTGTATTTTTTTCTGGTATGTGCCTAAACCCTGCACTCCTGACAGAGAATCCACAATATCTGAGAGCATTGCAGCCCAGTTTTCTCTTGGCCTAAAGCCTCAAATCAGGACACATCCTCTATATGGACATTATTTAAACCAAATTTTTTTACTGCTTAGGTACGTTAAGAACAAACTGTTTTTCCACATAGCATTTGAAAGAATAACAATTTTAAAAAAAATACAGACAGTTTCAGATTTGGCTGCATTGCAGATCTAGGAAGAAGGGCTGTCCTACACAAAGGTGTGTGAATTTAGCTAAATTTGTAATCCTGCTATTTATATTCATATCAACTCACAGGAGTTTAGCTTGCCTCCCTTATTTTGCTGAAGTAGATTTTAGCTTCTAACCAAGCTACACAAGATTTTTCCCAGTAAACTTTCATGGTTTTTCAATTTATATTCATTTTATTGATTCTTGTACAAACATGTTGAACTGCACTCTTTCTTCAGGTAGAGTTCATACTTAGTGGGATTCTGTTTTAGTACTCAGAGCTAGTCCTTCCTGTTCCATCACTTTTCTTACTTTTGAACCTTATTTTAAAAAACATAGCCAGTATGTGGAGGTTGATCAGAGGCTGGGCAGACCCTGTGCCAAAAGGTAGCCAACTAATTTTGATGCCTGAGTGGAATTTTAAGGCAAAGAGCATGAATCTTGTGGCTTGTGCAAGTTTGTACTTTGATGGTGTTTTACTTGATTGTATTTGTTCAAGTTGCAATTGCACCTTAAGATGAAGTCCTGCAGCATTCATGAGTTGGGTTAAATCCTTCTGATCATGAAATCCATCAGTGTATTCCTGGACCTTTTCATTCTAAAGGGAAAACAGAAACTTCTAAAGTGCACTTTAATCTCATCTCTAAGGGTGAGCAGTCAAGCATCCTTACTGGGCTGTTTAGACCCATGCTACAAGACCTACACTAGTAATCACTTCTAGACATGCATGGCATGCTAGGCATGCAGGCAAATGATGGGAGCACTGGCTGGACTCTGGCCAGAGGCTAGCCAAGCTAATCAGGATGTGGAAACATTTTGGACATGGTGTGAGGGAACTGT